TCGATACAAGTGTCACAACCAATATACCTCACAGAAGCACCTCCAAAAAAGATTTCATCTTAAGCTGGCATAATCAAGATGAACGTTGCAAATGTATAATCACATGTGCTCACAGTGTGTGACGGTTAAGTGTGATTATTTGTCGGATTTCAAACGTCCTTGCCTGTTACAATGAAGCCCCGACACTACTGTTTCTCTGAAAATCTCTGCCACAACTCTTTCGTTTGATTTCAACGCTTATAGATCTTAAAATATATCTACTTAAATCTTGTAGATCGATCTTTAATTGGGTTGGCATGGAAAAGGTTCTATGTCCACCTTAGTACCTGAATAAAATAATATCAGTTTGCAGCTCGAGGTTTTGAAAACAAACACGTTGCTCAATGTGAAGAGTGTTTCCCTATTCTTCCATCCCAGTTGTTACCGGAAGTGTTCGGTTCGGCAGTTAAAAGCAACTACACATCCTGAATTGTGTTTCGATTTATGGACGAATTTCATATCTACCTAAATACAATTTTATAAGTCTTAAACCCAAGTATTGTAGCAAACAGGTTGCTCAAGGTGGAACGGTCTTTCTCACATTCTCAACATAGTCTCGTGTGTAGACTGTAAACTAACTCCTTCAATACGAAATATAGATGGCACTTGTATACATAGTACATATACTGAGTCAAACTAGAAACTTCACAATCATATATAAAATAACACATTAAAGAAAAGATACAGGAATGCAGTATAGAGGTTATCAAATATTTGTTAAGGTCGACAGGATGAACTGAGAATAATTACAATGATAAAGTCGGTTCCATGTGGTTACATAATTCATCAATAAAAGGCGTAAACAAAGTGTCAAGGGCTCAACTTACCCGACTTACTGGAGGGGGGGGGGATTATAGAGATTAACAGTTACGGGTCGGTGATTGTGCAGGGTGAATTTGCTGTGAAATATTGATGTTTTATTCATGTAATATCTGATATGATTTCATTACTTGTATTTCAAAGTATTGATGTTGTATTAACTTGTATAACTGGATAACTTGTATATATATAATTAATAAATAAAGATACACATTGAGTCAAAAGTTGTTGATATATTATCACATTTGGTCCCGGATATTATTTCACATGGAACACAATAAAGGATTAAAGGGGATTATCACACCCCAGTGATTTCTTCTACTGAAACAATCCCGAGTTGGGTGAATGCGATGACCTCGGGTCAAGTCACAAGAAATTAAATCTGTTGTTTGAAACGGTCAGTAGCGTCTATGGCCGTGCTTTAACAAGTGCCAAGTAACGTCCTCTCATGGACTGTCTGATGCATGTAAACACATTATTGGGGAGTCGGTGCTATAGTTCCTGCAAAGCAGCACCAAGATCCTGCAAATTCTGGTGTTGGTTCCTGAGAGTGCGCAAACCTCCACCAAGAGCATCCCATGTGTGCTCGATTGGATTGAGATCAGGTGACCTTGACGGCCAGTCAAGAACCTTTATTCCTGCGTTCTGCAAGTAAATCCTGGTCAAGTTGGTTCTGTGGGGTCTGGCATTGTTATGTTGAAAGTGCAGACCTGGAAAATGTGCTGCCATGAAATAATTTCGGGGGCTAGCACCTGGTCGCAGTAAACTGCAACATTAGGGTTCCCACGGATAACAAGAAGTCGGGAACGGGCAATGCCACAGAAAGCACCCCAAACCATGACACTTCCGCCCCCAAATGCACACAACACTGAGCATTACGTCCACAATAGTCGCCTACTATCAGCGAATCTGAGGGTAAAGCTTGATTCATCACTAAAGACAATCCAGAGTCCATCGGATGTGTCCGTCGGGCCCATAGCAAACGCTAAATGGCGTCAAGATGGTTCCGCGATATGGTCGTCGAACACGAAGGTGAGCAGCCCGAAGCCGGTTTTGGTTGGTTTGTGCCGACAACCAACCCCTAAACAGCTGATTTCAGTTTCCTTTGTTCTTTGCCTGTAACGTCACACGTGGTCGACCTGGCCCAGGGCGATCAGCATTGGTGCCAGTTCGTTGCAGTGGAGACCTTGCAAAGTCACTTCCTTATGTTCCAGCTTCTTGCATGCCAACAGCGGGTCACGCTGCACATTTGGGAGGCACGGCATAAGGATTGGCTGTTCTGTATAGTGTTTTAAAATGTGTTTTTTTCACTTTCTACATTATGATGGGGACCATGTGTGAGCGAATGCGCGTACAGTGATAAGATCACGTGACCATTGGCACGTGAAAAACACGTTTTAACACTGTTGTGGGGGTGGGGGTGGGGGCACGATGTTTGGATTGACTTCAACATCGGTGTTGAGCTTTTTCTTGAGTCGATACTTGGGGATTAAAATTATAATACCCGAAAACTGTCTACTATACAATTCATATATTTGTTTGCCAACATGAATTGTGAAGTTTATGTTGACCCAGTATACAAACAAATAATTGTATAGCGCCAATATACGTAAACTGCTCATGGACGCTTCTGGCTCAAAGATGGCATTGATATCAGATAGAATACAACTGCTTCAGTGGTGAGACAAGTCTTTAGAATTGATTTAAAAACAGCTAAGTCTGATTGTGTTCTGGTGTGAGATGGAAGATTATTCCAGAGATGAGAACAAGCCGTCTCGAGTGACTTGGACCATGTGTTTCTGTCCTAGTCACAGGAACTGTCAAAAGACACTGGTCATCTGATCGGAGGGAACGTGCAGGGGTATAACGGTGGTACTGAGCTAGACCGTGCATACTTTTGAGAACAAAGAGCACAGTTTTATATCCTATCCGGTCATGGACGGGAATCCAATGCAGTGGCCGAAGAACGGGGGTGAAGTGAGACGAATATCTAGTGTGTTTACGTTTGGTTGTACTCGAGACACCAGAGAACGTGATTCTCTTCATAAAGAATGTTTCCACTTGAGCTGATCAGACCACCTTCAGTTAAGCCAGATGCTCAGAACTGTTCAGAGGCATTCTGGATGCCAATGTTCAATATGTTGGATGCCATGATAGGAATTTTTTTATCTGGAACGCGGAGGCCAATTTGTCACTTTTGACAAGTGTATATTTTTGTGTTCTTGGAAAGAGTGACACTTATAAAGCTTCAGTACTAAATATTGATAACATATTACGATATCAAAGAGTTCCGTTTTCTTTGAAACACAATAGTCTGTTTGTGAGCAGCGTGTCTACAACGGGCCAACATCCATGCAATGCCATGGGCCGGTTAGCGACGTTAAACTTCACATCAACAAGTCGCTTGCTCCATCTGCATCATAACCAAACTGCCACAGGAAGAACTAGGACACCTACAGTACAATGTTCTCTACCCCGTTATGGTCTCCCCCTAATTCACGGTGCTTGTGAGACCACCTTAAGGTGACACTGGTACAATATGCTGCTTACATATACGTTCAGGTTGCATGTGGACGCACCTGAAGATGGGAGTTTTGGAAACGATAGGTGTCCCAGCAAAGTTACCCCATCAGTCCGATCAGGGCTGGTCCAGGATTTGAGATGCGTGTGTTGGGTGGGGGTGGGGGGTGAGGGTGCGGGCGGTGTGTTTGTCACTTCCTCTTGCATCCGCCCCCGCTGTGTGTTGTAGTAGCATTGGACAGGGTGTCATCAGAACATCAATTGGTTGTTAGCAATTTGAAAGGAGTACGTGTAAAACTATCCGACAGGCTGCTTTCAGTTTTCTGGTGACGCAGCGTTGTCCGCATATGTGGAAACCTGGTCACATCCAGTATTACGGTTCTCTCGCTTCCCGTGCCCCCTGTTACCAGGTATGTGTTTTGTCAAATGAATCACTATCACCATCAAATAATCATGTGTTTCTTGTTCCATGTTCACCCAAATTAAACATGGGCCTAGCTTTTGTTTGATTTTGGAAAACTATCCCACAGGCTGTTTTAGGTCTTCTGGTGAATTTAATACATAGCTGCAGCCTCGCCTGCATCAAAGGAAACGTGGCCAAACTGTGGAAGACACCAGTTCTTATAATCAGCTAGTTTGATGTCAATAGTTTCATCTAATTCAAGTGCTTTTATGTCCTAGGAATTTAAAGTTGTTAGGACAGTAGTTTCTCAACTTCTCCTTACTATGCTTTTGGAACAGTCTATAAAGATACAGGGGGTTTCAGCTTAGTCCATGTTTAAGTCATTGTGTCCTTTTTGTTCTAGCCCAAGCTTTGTGTCCTTTGGACAGTTTAAACTGTGCACTTTTTCATCCGTCTTGCACTAGACACCACGTTGACTTACGGACTGGTGTGATCAATGACTACTTGAAATGGTCGATTACCATTGTTTCAAGAAGACTGACTGAGTTCGGTTTTACGCCGCTTTAAGCAATATTCCAGCAACATCACGGCGGGGGACACCAGAAATGGGCTTCGCACATTGTGCCCTTGTGGGGATTCGAACCCGGGTCTTCGGCGTGACGAGCCAACGCTTTAACCATTAGGCTACCCCTGCCGCCCCCGTTTCAAGAAGAGTCAGACCTGTAAGATATAGGCGGCTGCCCCAGGAGAATTAGCACCCGAGGGTACTGTCACTCACAGGGTACGGATAATTTTAATATTAACTATTATTCTCTGTATATATTGCAGATAATATATTATAACAGATATGTTTACTAATTGCTATTCGTATCATGGATACCATAAAGTGGTGAATGAGTATTGTATTGAGCACATTTAATGTAATTTATAACAATTACCCTTGTTCATTGTATACATCATGTATAGTATATGTATATTTATGTAATCCAGACAATGATTTTATGCCTCATTGAAAAAGATATTTATATGTGAATGTGAATATGTACTTGTATGTGAAAGATGTATCATGTTATTGCTTTGTGTATTGCAGGATGTCGTTACCTCTCTTGCTACCTATGCAACTAAAACAAGCCTGTGTTTGGGCGTCCTTTATAAGATTCTCACACTTCTTCCTTCAGGTACGGCTTGTGTTGTGACAAATATAGATCAAATACATCAGTATCAAATTTTGTTTGTTTTATTTGTTTTTAATGCATACAGTCGAAGCATTTAGTTGGAGCCGAGGGTGTTGGTGATAGTCTTGACGGCATCCTTGCCGGTGTCGACGATCTTCTGGAGAGTGGGCTTCATGTTTCCCATGGTCTGGGCTGAAGCAAGAATACAACTAAATTTTACCGAATCTAATATCAAGTGATCGATTTGAAGTCATTGCAAAAAGGAATATAAAAGGAAACTGTGTTCACGACTGGGTTTTATTGTTTTTAACAAGTAAAATTTTACGATGATATTTTGTTCCATTGAGAGCATAAGTTCTGTTTTGAAATTGAATAATTAAATGTGAAATGAATACAAACTGAATAAAAACGAAACCATGTTCCCGACTGGTTGTTTAATATCTATTATATCAAGCAACAATATAGATGAAGCTAGTTGGATTCCATTCAGAACGTGACATACTCTTTTGAAAATGATCGAGAATACAATTCCAAGTCAACTTACTCATGATGTCTCCAGCAGCAGCAGAGAGAGCCTTCAGGGCATTCTGTCCGTGTCCGAGAAGCTCAGTGGCGCTGTCCTTCAGGGCCTGGACATGTCCGGAGAGCTGGGTGCTCAGTTGGTCAAGGGTTGGCTTGACAGCTCCGAAGAGAGCGGTGGCGGTGGAGGAGAGAGTGGAGCCAAGGGTCGAGACGTGCTGACAAAAGAAAACATTACAATTATGCACAACATGTCCATTGTCCATTTCGTTGTCATGTGTACTGAACAATTTAAACTTTTATTGCAGTGTTTAATGATACGTTTGCAGCATGTCACATGATGCATTTAAAGCTTGCATGTCATGGCAAGTGTGCTGGTTATCATATGACCAGTATATTCTAAGAATTGTGATAGGAACAGTTATACTTCGTTTTGTAATGCTTGTTTCAATCATGACTGGAATATATCCTTGAATATATGTTTCACTGTGTGATTCAATGCAGTTCCTACCTGCTTGACGGCATCAACAACTGGCTTGAAGAGGGAGGCGAACTGCTGTCCAACAGAGGAAAGGGTGTCGGTCAGGGCAGATCTCTTGTTGCCAAGTTTGCTGATAAGACCCTCGGCAGCCTTAATGAGGAACTGTCCTGGGTTCTTAATGAGGGTCTCCAAAAGGGAATTCTGGAAAAGGTCGTGAAGATCTGGAAGAAAGAAAGAGAACCATCTTAAGAAAAGAAAAAAATATTATTAAGAACATCACGATGAATATACACGTTCAATATATGAGCAATGAAGGTCAATGTATGTCATAGAGCCTGTGACAGAAGAAGTTCTAAACTGATACATATCCACCAGTTGGGATTTTTCGTAACGTCTACTACTTACGACGTCAATCTCATTATCGCGCCCGTGAATATACCAGGTCTGACTAACTTCGTCACAAGGTATGGAAGCTATGAACAAAGATGTCCTGGTCGTGTATATTTGTATTGAACTAAGGTCAAATATTTTGTAATTTACAAGGACATAACAAAGTACGTATACAGTAACCTTTAGATTCAACGCTGGAATAATAAATATCTATGTGGATCTTCTTAGCAGTGAAATGTAACATGCATTAGCATAACAACACAATCAAATGAATCAACTTACTTCGTCAGGGGAATGAAACCTGAACAAAGATGTCTTAATCTGATCTGATTTGTTGTATTATTTCGGGACGTAATAATGTAGAGTTACGTGTACGTACTGACGACGTTCTTGATCTCAGACAGGATCTTGTCGAGGGGCTCCTTGAGGAAGTCCATGCTGGAGATTCTCTGGGCGATGTTGGTGAGGGAGGTCATGGCGGAGTGGTACAGGGACCCGAGGGTCTCGGACAGCTTGGCGACGACAGACTTGCCCTCAGTGACGAACTTGCTGACTCCAGTCAAGAGGCTGAACGAATTATATATAATATTAATACGGTATATCGTATCGTTATTTACAGAAATATGTAGACTTGTTCTGGCTTTACTATGGCAGTCCGTAAATAACAGGACGTACATCAGTTAATCTGCTGATTTAGGACAGGAGGACAAGGAGTCACCCAAGTCATCTAGACTGACAATCCTTTCCGCTTGGTCGCCTCGCACAGATTGCATGGGACGCATGTTCGTATTCTAGCGTGGAGGGTGATTTAAGTGAGAAAGAGTTTAGTTTTACGCAGCTTTTAGCAATATTCCAGCAATATCACGGCGGGTGACACCGGAAATGGGCTTTGCTTAACATTAATCCGGCATTGAGTTGACGACGGTACTGAGCCACGTTGCGAACCCTGAATTCTCATATCCATCTAAAATACATCGATATTAACATAAGTAAAACATACTCGGTGTCTCTGGTGGCGGGGGCACCAACGTGGGACAGGGACCCTAGAAGACCTGAAAACAAAGAAGTGACACAGTTTACAAGATTGTAGAATTTACATTAAAACGAAGGCTTCAAGTTTAAGCAGACAGGAAATGTGCTCAAAAATATTATTTATGGCATTGTGTTTTCATGTATCCTTGATCTAGGTTTGTCTGGTGTGTGATTATTAGATGTTGTCTATAAGACACTTTTATGAAACTGGAAAACGACTGGGATTTATCCTCCACACAGGTCCAATGTGCAAAGCTTCTATCGGATGTGCCCTCTAGTCCTTCATGATAACGCCCGACTTTCGTTTATACATTTGGCTTGAAACACTCTTCATCCAGTCATTAAACCAACTTATTTAAGTGACTGAGTTTAATGTACACATACTCTGAGCTCCAGTGGCCAACAGTTGGGTTCCTGCAGTCTTCAGATTGTCGACGAGGGTGTTAGCGACGGTCGCCAGGGGGGTCTTCAGGTCTTGGAACAGGTTGGTGAAGACGCTGCCGACGCTGTTTGCAACACCCTTGAGGGTGTCAACAAAGCCAGCAGCGTTGGCTCCAGACAGCAGACAGGCAATGGCGACGAAGACGAGGACCTTCATGTTGATTCTAGTTCACGACAGGTAAGTGTAGAACATATGATTTATACCGTCTTGTAAACACATTTGCACGTCAATGATCTGTTATTGGGATGTGTAAGAATTGCAAGAATGTATGGATTCGCCCAGGTGTTACCAAGTTATTGCCTACAGCTGTTTTCAATTCGGTGATTTCGGACATAGAGTTTTTGTGAATCATAATACAATTCTATTTGGGTTTGCGATTTGTCACCCAAAGCAACTACGTTCTAATTATCCATCCAAAAATGGAAAGAACCATTTTACACTGGTTCCTTGTGTCAATACAAAGGATAAGGGGATTCTTCAGATATACAGAGGCAAAAACAACATGTCCATTCTGATAGGAACTTTCTACAACAGAGACTCATGAAGAACAGTGAACGTTCAAGAGATGCTTACCTGATTCGAACGCGTTCGGAATGGCTCTGCATCGACAAACTAATTTCTTTTATAAGGGAAAACTGGTGGGAAGAGTGGCACCTTTCATGATCCTTACCCTTATCTTTGACCTTTAATCGTGGCCAGCTGTAGGGTGCCGTTACATGTCCATCGCGCCTCTTGTTATCTCACATTTCTCATGACGTGACAGCTTGTTTGTCCAGAAATATTCCAGTTATATGTATTCCCGGTCTGTAAATAATTGAAACCAGACAATCCAGTGACTGACAGTATGACAATCAATCTGAGCAGCTGGGGTACGATGACTCCATCAACCAGGTGAGCGAGCCTGACAACATGTTCCCGTCGGTCGATTTTACGAGAAGTACTGATTGTTGAAAATTTATTCAGCAGATAGTATGTGAGAGGGTTTCTTATGCTGGCTTTGATGTGAATATCCTATACATTCGCGGAATGAATACATGTCTGGTGTGATAAATTTTAATACACGAATATTGTTTTTTTGTACCAAATCTCTCATTATTCATGACAAGTCTGAATCGGACGTGACCAAGTACGGAGTGAGTGAGTTTAGTTTTCAACGCACTCAGCAATATTCCAGTTATATGGCGGGACCAAGTACGGAACATAATGGAGCATACTTTACAAAGGTTGCAATGGCGTCATCCACTTGAGCTCATCTAACTCCTTCATATTGCAATATGTCATTAAGACACTCTTTTGAAACACAAGATTATTCCATTGAAATCTGTTATGATATTTGCATCACCAGGATTTCAACAAACTAAACATCCACAGCAACGTGTATTGATTCTTACTGAGGCGTGTAAGCACGACTCATAAGATAAATGCCTAATAAATTATTTACACTGCTCTCACTGTCTCATAAGATTGATGTATATTTACACGGCTCCCTCTGTCTCATAAGATAAATGTATATTTACACGGCTCCCTCTGTCTCATGTGATAGATGTATATTTACACGGCTCTCTCTATCTCATAAGGTAAATGTATATTTACACTGCTCCCTCTGTTTCATAAGATAGATGCATATTTACACGGCTCGCTCTGTCTCATAAGATAGATGTATATTTACACGGCCCCCTCTATCTCATAAGATAAATGTATATTTACACTGCTCCCTCTGTCTCATAAGATAAATGTATATTTACACGGCCCCCTCTATCTCATAAGATAAATGTATATTTACACGGCTCGCTCTGTCTCATAAGATAAATGTATATTTACACGGCCCCCTCTATCTCATAAGATAAATGTATATTTACACGGCCCCCTCTATCTCATAAGATAAATGTATATTTACACTGCTCCCTCTGTCTCATAAGATAGATGTATATTTACACGGCTCCCTCTATCTCATAAGATAAATGTATATTTACACTGCTCCCTCTGTCTCATAAGATAAATGTATATTTACACGGCTCCCTCTGTCTCATAAGATGAATGTATATTTACACTGCTCGCTCTGTCTCATAAGACAGATGTATATTTACACGGCCCCCTCTATCTCATAAGATAAATGTATATTTACACTGCTCCCTCTGTCTCATAAGATAAATGTATATTTACACGGCCCCCTCTATCTCATAAGATAAATGTATATTTACACGGCTCGCTCTGTCTCATAAGATAAATGTATATTTACACTGCTCCCTCTGTCTCATAAGATAAATGTATATTTACACTGCTCCCTCTGTCTCATAAGATAAACGTATATTTACACGGCTCCCTCTTTCAAACAGGTCACACATCCTGGATTCCAAATATCCATGAAGTACAAACTCAGTGACTTTGTGTGTCGTGGATTTATAAAGTATTAAAATTATATAGGCTCTGTAAAGTCAAAACGTATTGCTTGTATTAAGTGCACCATATGACGTCTTCATCATTATAATATACACGTTTTACGGGTAAGACTTCCGCCCTTATCCCCCTAAATTTTAACGATGAGGAAAAATTCCTTTGAGAGTCATTTTCAGAAGTAGGACATGTCTTTCAGTACATTCAGATACAATTAAAGAAACATGTTAAAACTCATCCTTATCAGATGAGGAATATATAATCAGGTGATATGATTTGACTAGAGTGAAATTTAAGGGCGGATACGGGCTGAAGTGTTTCCCATATTACTATCTCAGGTTAACACTACCGTGAACGAGAATAATGTAAGTACCAGCAGGATAGAAAGACCAACTGTGTTCATAATACAGCAAGACTCCAGCTTTTGGCAACACTTCCTTGTGGCAATGGTGAAGTTCGCTTGTATTTGGATAATTTGAATTCATACTTATAAACTACGTCCAACAATGCTGTGTTAATCCGAGGTGACATAGAGGGATTGTCCAGCTGTGTGTGAAAGCAGGGCAAGGGAAGAATCACTATGAAGATAGTGTACTGGGCTCTCAGCGACTGGCGATCACGGCATTTGAACAAGAAGACATACGACAGTCGACTCTAATTTTCATTTTTGAACTCAGATATATACCTTGAGTCCTGTATTTGAGGGTCCATGGGAGTCATATTCTTAAATGAAGTCTTAATAGTTGACAATTGTCAACAAGCACCTTAGCTTGGATAGAAATGTTACACTGTGTGGCTAACTGTATGATGTTAATTTTCCACAACACAGCTGCACTTCATTAGCTCCAGGGTGACCTTCATGTACTCACTAGAGAGACAAATGAATTTAAATCAAGCGTGAACGGCTCAAAGAAATACCTATGGAAATTACCTATCACGTGCAGTGTTTAGGGTAAACCCAACCATTGTATATCTATATTCATGTTTTAACAAATATTAAAATTGAGAAGGGATTGTTCCAAACGCCTTCTTAAGGATTCAGTGTGACAAAGAGCATGGTACTGTTGATCCCCGGATTGTCTGGTCCAGACTCGATTATTTACAGACCGCCGACATATAGCTGGAATATCGCTGAATGCGGCGTAAAACTAAACTCACTCACTCACAAAGAGCGTGGACAGGTGGATGACTTCAGCATCGCTATAGGCCTATACTCACACCGAGTGTTCCAACAGCCCCAGACGTTCGTGCCTATGTCTTAGCACAGGTACAATCAAGCGACCTGTTTCTTTCCCCAAAACTTTCAAAGAGACTCAGTTTTGAACTTGTACAATATACACCCATATTTGTGATGAACTATTGAGGTGCCGCTACATGTGTTGGTTATGGTTACCATGACAGTTTGCATGTATATCAAACCGATTCATTGTATCATCACTATCTGGTAGGGATTCAATAAGTCTACCCGATTCATTGTATCATCACTATCTGGTAGGGATTCAATAAGTCTACCCGATTCATTGTATCATCACTATCTGGTAGGGATTCAATAAGTCTACCCGATTCATTGTATCATCACTATCTGGTAGGGATTCAATAAGTCTACCCGATTCATTGTATCATCACTATCTGGTAGGGATTCAATACGTCTACCCGATTCATTGTATCATCACTATCTGGTAGGGGTTCAATAAGTCTA